CACCCTTCTCCCCTCCCTGCTCCTCCCAGGGTTTGGGTGTATAGTGGATTGGGTTCTTGCAGTGCTGTTAATGGACCAGCCTTGCTCTTGCTGGGCAAACCGTCGACCACTCCCAACCCTCTCCCAGCTTTACAGACAAGAACCACATCCTCTCTCCAGCTGAAGTCTCCGTAAGGATGGCTAGTCATGAGTGACCAGCAGAACCAGACTCTTACTTCATAGGTTTCCACCAGTATATCCCTGGTGATGAGAGGATGCAGCGGGGTGGGGAATTTCACAGACGCCATGTTCTGGAAGTTGTGCTGAAAGTGTTCTAGGTTCCGAGCTTCATAGCGCAGGTCTATCTACAGAGAAGGAGAGGAAAGAGCGTGGGCACAGGGAACGCCTCTAAGATGCCGGGAAACCCAGGTGAACACAGTTCTCCCTTCTTCCCTGGCCCCTGCCGAGTACCGGGAACCTCAGAGAAGACACACCAGCTGGCTCAAAGCTGCCACAGAAGGAGAAAACACCCACTATCCACAAGAACTCCTATCAGCCATGCAACAGTTCCCCTGACAGGATCCAGGACCCCTTCATACCAGCCAATCTGTTTCCCAAGATGTGACCTGACGGCCCTCTTTAGTGTCCAGTGCCGAACTAGCCTAGCCGCCTGCCCTCTCCTTCCATTATGATCAGTGTGGTGGCACCGCTTCCACATGAGGATGGCCTCGTCCTCCACCCGCTGGAGCAAGTGCTGCAGCTGAATGCCCAGCCCCATGTTATCTTAATAACCCTCCCAGCTTTTCTCCTGACCTGTCTTGACTATACTCAAGCCATGTGGATGAATGGTGATGCCCACACTCTTTGGCGGTTTAAAACGTTTATTTCACATGTGTAAGTGTTTTGCGTGCATACACAACATGCATGTCTGTTGTCCACAGAGGTCAAAAGTCCTGGAACTGAGTTGCAGAAGGTTGTGAGCCACCATGTGCATGCGAGTCCTGCTCTGCAAGAGCAGCAAGTGCTCTTAGCCACTGAGCCCCGAGATCTATGCCCATTAGAACGACAGCCAGGCGGGTCAAGATCCGCCTCCTTTGATTCCCCTACCTTCCACCACCATCTCCAACTCCAGCCTCACTCAAGTCTTAACAGAGCGGGGGACACCCAAACAGCCTGGCTGACCCTCCTCACTCCTGACAGTTTGTAATCACTACGGTACCATGATACAAATGAGCAGAGACGGAGACTCAAACCCAGCCTGCCACGTGCTGGAACCAATGGGGATCAGGGCTAGCAGGAAAAGCTGATATAAGACAAAGGGGTAAAATGTGGAGATGTGAGTTTCAAGTGCTGGGACTCTGATGTCCACCAGGCTCTTAGTGGGGGCCATACCACGCCTCCACACACCTCCCAGCCCTCTACAAATTCCTATGTTCGAATCCCAGCCTCCAAGGACATGGTATAACCAAGCAGGGCTTTGCAGAGAGTGGCCGTATGAGAGACCTGAGACCCTAGCCCCTTCTACGACATTAAGACATGGATGGACCAGAATCTCTCTTGGCCCCAGGCTTACCCTTCAGAACTGTAGGCAAAAATTCACTGTTGCTCTACTTATTCCAACAGCCCAAATATTGTCTGGCTCAAATACTTCACTGTTTCTGTTTTTTCAAAACAGGACCTAGCTGCCTGGAACTTAGATGCATTAGGCTGGACTTGAATTCAGAGACATCTGCCCACCTCTGCCTCCTGAGTGCTGGGATTACAGGCCTGAGACACCACACCAGGTACCTAATACTTTTTCAAACATTTTTTAATTAACATGACTGCCTGGAACTTAAAACCCTCAGAGGAATAAATGAAGTCTTGGTACACAGCTTCTGACCTGCTCATACCAGAGTCATCCGGTAGGAGCCAGATGTCCACATGAGTGGCTGCCTTTGTTTCTCTAGTCCCAGGCCACCTCATAAAGTCTGCTACTGGAGAAAATATGTAAGGTGGGGCTTTTTTTTTTTTTTTTTAAGAGGATGTTACTCTATTCTCAAATTACAGGCTCTCTAAACAAAGCACAATTTAAAGATTCAATTCTAGGCAAGTGAAACCGCTCAGCGGATATAAAATCTTGGTGGCATGGGTGTCCCAGCCTCAAGGACCTACACTGAGGAAGAAGACAGCTGACACCTCAAAGGTGTCCTTTGATTTATATACACAGGCTGTGGCATGAACATGCCTACCCATTACCACAAACCCACACAAAAATAAATAAAATGTAAAATAAAAAATCTAAAGGTCCAATTTTTGTTTCTATCCATTGGCTCTTGGTGACAGGCAGCACAGTCTCTGGTTTCCCACTTGTAATGGCAGTGCCAATCTTGAAAAAAAAGGGGGGGGTTAAAACTACTTCAAAGGAGAGCTCCCCTCCTCCTTCAGGTTACCTGAATATAAGCAAGAAATAGCCTAGCTGCATGATGCTGGTGGGACCGAACCATTCCTTGTTTCACCAGCTAGCAATACCCACCTTGACTAATAGATCATGTTCTGCTTGACACACTGGGAAACGACCTATCCACTCACCATTTACCTGTTCATAAGCGACTGCTAATAGCAAGAACTATGTCAAGTGCTATTTACAGCTGAGAGGCGTTACCTGTTGGACCATGAGCTTCTCAAATTCCTCCACAATCTCAGGCAAGCTAAGCCATTTGACACCTGGCAAAAGCCCCAGGGCGTGGCTGCCAATCTTCATCAGCAGTAAATCCATGTACACCTGGGAGAGCAGGCCAGGGTGTAACACCTGCCAGAAAGAACCACGAGACAAGAAAGGATCAGGAGGAGCCGGTTTACCTAGCCAGCACAAGCTCCCACCTTCAAAGGAAGCACAGTGCTTCTCAGCAAAACAAAGGGAAGTAACCCAATACCCATGATGCTCTTTGGTGGTACCTCCACCCCAGAAGTAGCAAAATCCAAGTTGTTTCTTTTTATCTCCCTCAGACTATTCACACCACTGCTCCCTGAAGTCAAGAAATGAAACCAGGGACTGTTGTGGAGAAACACACGTTGAGACCCAGCACTCAGGAGGCAGAGGCAGGCAGATCTCTATGGGTTTGAGGCCAGCCTGTCTACCACAGCGAGCTCCAGGACAAACAAGGGGGCTACATATCACAATTCTACCAAAAAAAAAAAAAAAAAAAAAAAAGGAACTAACAAGGGGGCCCAGCAGGCCTAGTGGTACCAGGAATCCTGCCAGTTGGGAGGGAAGAACCTCAGCTTCAAGGCCTGTCTGGGCAACCTACTTAGCAAGGCCTTGTCTACAAATAAAGAATAGAATGAGGCATCACAGTATAGTTTAGTGGTTGAAGGCTTGCCCAGAATGTGTGAACTAAGGAACTAAGTCTGACTGCCCCCTAGGTTCAATCCTCAGTACCACAAAAAAAAAAAAAAAAAAAAAAAAAAAAAACAGGTTGGGCAGCCCTAATCCAAAATCTAAAACTCGAAATACTTCACAATCTGAAACTTTTAAGGACTGACATAACACAAGTGAAAAACTCCAAACCTGCCCTCCGGTGATGGGCTGAAATGATTGTAGTCTACATGCATAAGGTGTGTGTGTAACATAAATGAATGTCATATTTCATGTTTAGACTTGGGTCCTATCCCAGGATATCTCATCAAAGATATGCAAATAATCTACAACCCAGAAATACATGAAATCCAAAACACTTTCATTCCCAAGCATTTTTGGAGAAGGAAAACAGTCTTTGAACAGAAAGCGATGGATAGACGTGGAAGTGGCTCTCACAGGGCTCTGCTTCTGATCTGGGACAGACAGATCAGAGAGAGGGACGACCAGACCAGCGTTGTCCTTGTGAGAGCACTTACTTTCACTGCCACAGGGATGAGGTGATCTGCCTTAGGTGGATGGCCAGGAGCATCAGATCTGTCTGCTTCAGACCTAAGACAGTCAGCTGTAGGGACAAGCAGCTTTTCTAGAAACACTTCATCAGCAAGGTTTTCTGAAGGCCTCCAGCCGTTCTCACAGGGCTCTCTCTGCATCCCGACTGCCCTGGTTCCTGAGGACAGCTGCGGCACAGAGAGCCCCCTAGGTCTCCAGATTCTGTCCTTCTCCAGCAAGGCAGTGCTAGCGAACGCTTTGTACACTTGGGCCACGCAACCTGAACCCACAGGTTCCTGGGTCTCGAAAATGAGGAGGCTGGCCCAGTCCTGCCCAAAGGCCTGCTGGAGTAAGTATTCTGTGCGGGCCCAAGGGTGAGGGGTCACCTGGACATGCAGCTTGGAGAACTGGTCACAGAAAGCTTCCGAAAAGAGATCGCGCCGGGTGCTGGCCCACTGGCCCAGTTTGATATACGTTGGGCCTGAGGTCTCTGTAGCTTTCAAGAGCAGATGGAACCAGAGGGTGGAGAGGCCAGGAGCCAGATAGGTGAGAGGGTACAAGAAGAGGAGGGGGAAGAATTTCGCCAAGAGAATGCCAGCGCGCAGCCCTAGGCGGAGACACAGTAAAACGCGACCCAGAGGCCCTCTTTGGGCCACATTCTCCACCCGTCCATTTTCAGCCAGGTCGCTCCAGCGGGCCTTCTGCTGGCACAAGCTGCCAGGCTCCCCATTTCCAACATTCCCATGGGCTGAGATGAATTTGGGCAAAGTCCCTAGCAGAAACCAACATAGTCTAGCATTGCGAGAGAATCGCAGGGTTCTGGAAAGGGCAAGTTCCTTCCTGCATCTTAAGTGTGACAAACAGACCCTGACAGACAAACGCCAGGGGGTCACCATCCTCTCCAGGCCCCCCTGGCTAGGCTTCTTGCCCTCTACCTAAAGGGAAGCCATTTGTGGAGATGCTCCAGGCGAGACGGGGGATGAGTCGGACCGCGCCCCCCAGCGCTGCCGCCTAAGCCAAGCCGGGACAGGGGAAGGGGACCACGACCCGAGCCAGGGACCGCGGGTGACACGGGGCTGTCCAGCTCCAGACCGCAGAGTGCGGGGTGCCACCGCGCGCCAGTGGGGTGGAAATGCGGACCCGCGGCCTGGAGCGGTCGGCGGGGCCGCGGGGAGGCGGGAGAGGAGAGGGGCGCACTGTCCAGGCTCCCGGGAGTCGGCGAGGCTGCACACCCGACCCCCGGGGACCAGCAATCAGCGGGGAGGCCCAGCCGGGCGGAGCTCTCAGCGCCGCCGCGCGCCTCCCCAGGCTTCCGTTACCTGGGTCCACCCTCTCCGCCCAGGAGACGCTCCTTAAAGGGGCCGCGCCGCGAACCAGGGCAACAGTGCCCGGGCACGCTAAGTCCCTGAAGGGATTTATCGCAAAACGCAGAAGCACCGTCTGTGACCCCCTTTTCCGCGTCTGCCACTCCTCTTCACAGCTGCGCAGTTTAAACCTTAGAAGTGTTACACTATCCTGTGGATTGCAGGCGAGTTTTTCAGCTTCTGGGTGTGGGTCTTGGGTCCTTGGATCCGAGGCTGCACTGACTTAGCGGTGGTGCTTAGACCTTAGGGAATGGCTTATTTGTCTAATACTATTTGAGCCCAGTATTTGTTGGGCTAAACTAGGTGGGTAACTATACTTGCTGCCAAGCCTGACGAAATGAGTTTGATCCTCGGAACCTACACGGAAGTAAGAGGTCACTGATTCCTTTAAGTCCTGTCCCCCAAATACAAAATAAATGTGATAAAAATGAAAATGTAGCAAGGGCCATGGGAGCAAGTAGGAGCAGGTAGTGCGTGATGGAGCGCGGGAACCGAGCCTGCAGACCCAGGGAAGGGTCTGCAGCTTCTTCTCTGCTTTCTGGGATTTATACGGCTGCCTGCCCTGGGGTACCACAGTCCCTACCACCTACCAACAGCTTTTGTCTCTGTGTGGAAAGAAACTTCCCCAGAAGTCTGGCCAAGGGTAGGTTTAAAGACGTCACAGGAGAAAGGGGAAAGAGGAACAAGGACCAGGCTCAGGGTTCCTATCACTGAAGTGTCACTCAACCTTAAGACATGCCTCCAGGCTACCCAGAAGGCTCAGCAGACAGAGTCATTTCCCAGGCGTAGACTCAGGGCCACTATTGCAGTCACGAAGGCAGAGTGGCCAATGGCTCTTTCTGTACGGTCAATAACAACTCAGTTCCTAACTCTAGAGAATGGGAGACACCCTTTGGGCAGACATGATGCCTTACACTGCTTCAGAGTGTGGTCAGCTGCCAGGCATGGTGACTACATAGTGAGTCAGGGACTACATAGTGAGACCCTATCTAAAAAAAAAAAAAAAAAAAAAAAAAAGAGGCTGGAAGAGAGATGGCTCAGTGGTTAAGAGCACTGGTTGCTCCTGCAAAGACCGTGGGTTCCGCTCCCAGCACCCACATGGTAATTCACATCAGTCCCTAACACGCCAGTTCTGGAGGATCTCAGCTCAGACATAACATGCAAGCAACACACTCACACATAATACAAAATAACAAATTGAAAAATTTAAAAAGAAAAATAAATATGACCAGCCACTAATTACTAAGTATTCCTTTTCTCCTGACTCATTTACCTCTTTTGTCCCAAAGTTGTTCACAGAAGACTTGTATACCTCTGACCATATCATTTTAAGCCATGGCCCCTTCCAGTGTGATGCCAGACAAGTTTTTCTGGGCCTCTGCCTCTCCATAAAGGACACAGGGAGGGTGGACATGGGGAGATAAATCCAACTAAAGTTAGACAAGATCCCCTAAAACAGTGTTTTCAGCCTTCCTAGAGCTGCTACCCTTTAATACAGTTCCTCATGCTGTGGTGACCCCCGACCATAACATTATTCCGTTGCTACTTCATGACTGTCGTTTTGGTACTGCTATGAATTGTAATGTAAATATTTTTGGAGATAGGGTTTTTCCAAAGATCTAACAGCCCAGAGGTGGAGAACCACTGTCCTGAAGCATTGCAAGACCTCTGGACTTGCACTTCTCTGCTGAAGGTCAGGATGTGTAGACAGTTAGGAACACAAATTCTGGCCCGACATAAATGTGGCTTCAACTGCATCTTCTTGCCCTGCTTCTTCTCATCACCGTATCATTGGGGATAAGTTACTGAACCTGTCTCTCCTCTTTGCAATAGAAATAAGAACATTCTAACTGGTGGTGCACACCTTTAATCCCAGCACTCAGGGAGGCAGAGACAGGCAGATCTCCGTGAGTTCAAGGCCAACCTGGTCTACAAATTGAGCCCAGGACAGCCAAAGAAAACCTGTCTCGAAGAAGAAGAAAAAAGAAAAGTCTAGAATAGTCTGCTTGAAAGAAGCTACAGGGGGAGGGGGAAATGAGTAAATCAAAAGAGTGATGAGTGTGGTGTACCATGAGTTCAGTTCCCTGGACCGCATCTAATGACTCTCAACCCTCTGTAATGCCCTGTTCTGACTTCTGAAGGCAGGTGCACGAATACACACACATACACACACACACACACACACACACACACACACACACACACATCTTCTTTTAAGATTTATTTACTTATTTTTATGTATATGAATGCTCTGTATGCCAGAATATGGTTGGGAGCCACCATATGGGTGCTGGGAATTAAACTCAGGACCCCTGGAAGAGCAGTTAGTGCCCTCAACCTCTGAGCCATTTCTCTCTAGCCCCCACATAAATCTTAAAAAAAAAAAAAAAAAGAGGCTGGCATAGGAGCCCAGCACTCAGGAGGTTGAGTCAGACAGAGTTCAAGGCCAGCCTGGTCTACATGGGGAGTGCCACACCAGCCAGGGATACCTGGTAAGACCCGGTCTCAAAGAGGGACAAGGGGTGCTGGGGAGCTAGCTCAGCAGTTAAGAGGACCCGAGTTCCACTCCCACCGCCCACACAGCTCCTAACAACTGCCTGTAACTCCCGGTCCACGAGATCCGTCACCCTCTTCTGACCTCTGCCACTGATGTGCGCACACATGCGTGCAGGCGACACACTCACACATAAGACAAAAGAATGTTTCTAAAAAGCTGGATGTATGTGCTGTGCTTATCCCCACACCTAACAGCATCATCTTTTTTATTGTCTAAATCAAAGCAGAAGCAGTTCTGTTTCCCCTTCGTCATTGGCAGGCATGGAAGATGCATTGCAGAAGATCTCATCTGCTTGTTTTCGTTTTATTATTTAGCAGTATTATCACTGTCACTGTTATTACAAGGCAAGGCCTTACTCCACAGCCCAGGCTCAGGCTGGTCTGGATCTCACAATAGTCAAGCTGGCCTCAAACTCCCAAGAGCTTAGCTTATAGGTGTAAGGCATCATGCCAAGACTTTTTTCTTTTAAAGATTTATTTATTTTATGAATATTAATGCTCTGTTTTCACACACACCAGAAGAGGAAATCAGATTCCATTACAGATGGTCGTGAGCCACCATGTGATTGCTGGAAATTGAACTCGGGACCTCTTGAAGAGCAGTCAGTGCTCTTAACTGCTGAGCCATCGCTCCAGCCCGCCCCCCCCCCCTTTTTTTGAGACAGGCTCTCAAGTAACCAAGGCTGGCCTCCATTTTGACTTGTGACTTTGAACTGACCTTAAATTTCTGGTGTTTCTGCCTCTGCCTTCTGAGTGCTGTCATTACAGGTATGTGTCACCATGCCCAGAAGATCTCACTTAAAATAAAGTCTTCACCTGGCATGGTGGCACATCAAATGCCTTTAATCTCAGCAGAGACAGACAGCTCTTTGTGAGTCCCAGGCTAGCCCAAGCTACATAGTGAAACCCTGTCCACATAAATAAATGAAAGTGTAAGACCTGGAGTCTCACAGCTCAGGAGTTCAAGATTGTGCCCTTCCTAGAAACTCCCACAGACCACGACTCGATGCAAAAGCAAGAGGTTTAATTTAACCATTACGCAATGGGGTCACCCCTGCCGGTCAGCGAAGAGTGGCACCGGGAGACAAAGGCCTTTAGGTTTTTAAAAGAAAAACTGTGGGAAATTTGAAGTTGCAGTCTTGGCAATTTAGGATTGGACGAGGAAGCTATAAAGTAAGATAACTGGTTAGTCTTAGGTGCTCAAGCTTGGCCAGTCCTGCCAAGTGTAGATGCAGCTGCAATTGAAGGTGGGGGTGGTTAGCTCATCCTTGAAGATTGGGGCTTTGGGCTCTTGGCTGGAGGTCAGGAACTTCTCAGAAGGATTGAAGCCATCTGGGTTGGTTGCTAAGAAACATTATCTCAAAGACAAGGGTCTGGTTGTTCTTTTTGCTGAGTAAAGGTTACTGCTTGCTTACTTTTTTTATATCTGTTCTCACAGATAGGGTCACATTCCTCCATTCTCTGGAAAGGTACTAAGAGGCTTTAGCTTAACCTGGACCTAAAACTCAAAACTATAGGCTTTAGAAGACATACAGGTTACAAAGTTAGTCTAACCCTTTCAAAAGTCCTGCCAGGTGGACATACTTCACATATGTAATCCCAACACTTCGGAAGGAGGGACAAAAGGCCAAGGCCAACATGGGTACAGAAGACCCTACTTCAAAATACATACACACATACATGTTTTCCAGTTTGCTATTATTAAATCTCATATCCACTCCACCGAACCTCCCCACAAAAATAAGGGAAACAACATCTTAGCTAGTTCCCAGCATGGATCTGGGTGCCTTTGTGGCATCCTAGAAATTGACCTGCGATGACCTATGACCTCAAACCGTGTCTATCAGAGTCACCTGGAGGGCGAGCCCCGCCCTCAGCTCCTGTATATGTAGACCTAGGAACAAGCATTCCGAGAAGAGGAGGAGCTAGTAAGGAAACGCGTGAGTGCAGTTTCGAAGCGTAGCAAGGGCCATGAAAGCAATGAAGACTGTGTGGTACCATAGATACTTCAGAGGAAAGTGAAGGGCAGGCCGCATCTCACATTGGACCTCTGGCTGACCCGACCCCTGCTGTAGGCTCACAAAGAGGAAAACTTACCTCGTTAAGACTGCCAGCTGCAGCCTGGCGGTGGCAGCACACGTCTCAGCGCTTGGGAAGCAGAGAAAGGCAGATCTCTGAGTTCAAGGCCAGCCTGGTCTACAGATCAAGTTCCAGAACAGTCAAAGCTTCAAAGCTGCTCAGTGAAACCCTGTCTTGAACAAAAAAAAAAAAAAAAGATTGCCAGTTTCACCCACTTCCAATCCAGACAGCCAAACATTAAAATAACATGCCATGATGGTTAATTTTTGTAAAGTTTTATCTTAAAAAATTTATACAATATATTTTGATCATACTCTTTCTCCTCCCCCTAACTCATCCAGACCCTACCCACCTCCTCACCCACCCAACTTCATTCTTTCTCTTGTTCTAGTTCACCACTACTCTCTCTCAAAAAAGACAAAAATGAAAATCAAAACACACAAACTAAAAAAAATCTATTAAAACAAAAACAAAAGCAAAACAAAACAAGTGCACAGAAAACATGGAGTCTGTTTTGTGTTGGCTTGCCCTGGACTGTGATATATACACTGACGCTCCCTTTTCCCAGTGTGTATCAGCTGAAAACAGCTTCCTGGGTTAGTGGTGGAGCTGCTTTTGTCTATTTGCACTTTTCAGTGTCGGGTTTCTTCTGGTTGAGTCTCTGCAGGTCCTGCGTGCATCACGCCTGTTGTATCTGGAAGACTCCGTTTCCTGGGAGTCAGCCACCACCTCTAGCTGTGACGGTCGTCTGTCTACTCTTCTGTGTAGTGTACTGTTACTTTTAAATGTCAACTTGCCACAACTCAGAATCACTCAGGAAGAAAGCCTGAGCGAAGGGCTGGCTGGATCAGCCTGACCCGTGGTCACTGCTGGGGTGGACTGTCTTGATTGTTAATTGACGTAGGAGGACCCACCGCATTGTGGGTGGCACCATTCCCTTGGCATGGGGATCCTTGACTATGTAGGGCAGGAGACAGTCAGGTGAGAGCAAGCATGGATCTGTTCATGTGATGTGGCTAAAGCTGTTTGAGTTCCTGCCTTGACTTCTGTCCAGTGATGAACCAGACCTGGAATTAAACCAAAATAATCAGGCATGATGACGCACACCTTTAGTTCCAGCACTCAGGAAGCAGAGGCAGGTGGATCTCTGTGAGTTCAGGGCCAGCCTGGTCTACATAGTGAGTTTCAGGACTGCTGGAGCTATAAAATGAAAAAATAAAAATAAAAAATAAGCCAACTCATAAACCAAAATAACCCATCCCTCCCTAGTTGTTTGTCATCAGGATGTGTTAGCATAGCAACAGAAATGAAACTAGAACAATACCTCTTCCTTTACCAGCGCCCCAACAACACCTGGGCCCAGCATAGCTCTAAACACCTGTTCCCACACCAGTATTTGTCTCCACTTGAGCTTAAGTCTCTTCCCACAGTGGTGGCTGGCTTCCTTTCTACAGACAACTCTGAGTGAACAGCCCATTTGTCCTCATCTGGGTAGGCTCTATTGATTTCCAGATTCTTCTCAACAGCAAAAGCCTGCAAAAAACGTCCTTGGTAGTGTCTCTGCTGGTGTGGTTCACTCGACTTCCACTAGGTGTCACTACTCACTTTGAAGTGCAGCCAAGCTTCCCCTAGGGTTCCAGAGCTGCCTAGAAAGGAAAAACAAAATTAGGTCTGTCTAGACGTCTCTTTGGGCAGAAGCCTATCATTTCAGCATCTTCTATGTAACGCGTTTGCATGGGAGGCAGGGCACACACAGTGCCTGGAGGAGGTGGACGCTTGCTTTCTTATGTATATGGGTATTTTGCTTGCACGGATATCTGGGCATCACATGCATTCCTGGTATAAGTCAAAAGAGGGTACTGGAACCCTGCGACTGGAGTTACAGATGGTTGCAAGCACCACGGGGTGCTGAGAGTAGAACCAGGGTCCTCTAGGAAGAGCAGCCAATGCCCTTAACTGCTGAGCTAACTCTCCAGCCCAATTTCTGTACTTTTAAATTCTGGGCAAAATGATTTCTGCTGTGTGTGTTGGGGGGTGGGAGTGGTCCTATACCTGGAGGATATTTAGCTGGGTCTCTGACCTCTTCCCATACAATGTCAGAAACAACCCTGGTCCTGCCGGTCTCTTTGGACTGCTTTAAACAAAACACTATAACTGGCAGCATATAAACCCTTATTTTTCACAGTCCAAAATAGCTAAAATCTGGGGGTTTCCCCCCTATTTCTTTTCTACCATGCCCTGCAGCATTGCCTTCATATTCCTCCCTAGAGAAGGCTGACTGGGTAGTCTCTCCCTTTCTTTTTCTGCCAGTCACTCAAGTTGTACTCCTTCTTTTCAGGAGAATTTTCCCCGCTCTAGCTCCCAGTACCCCCTTTTGATTTTGCTCAAGCATCCTGCTGGCCCTTCCCAGAGTCTGGATTTGTGTTAACACATCAGGGACAGTCCCTTCTTCTCTGTCTGGGAAGTGTGGACACACCTAGCAATGAGATCCCTCCGGCTCAGGTGCGCTACAGCCAGGAGGTCTGCTGGGAGACTTGTGACTTATCTGTGCTGAAAGCCTGACCAGGCTGGACTTGGTGACTCGTGCCTGTGTTGCAGTTATCTAGAAGCAGAGGCAAAAAAGATTGCTATGAGTTCCAGGCCAGCCTGGGCTACTGAGTGATACCCGGTCTCAAAAACAAAGCAAAGGCTGGATAAATTGCTTAGCACTTGAGAGCACTTGCTGACCTTTCAGTGGATCGGAGTCTGGTTCCCAGCACCCATGTTTGATGGGTTCTAACCACCCTTGACTCCAACACTCCTGTGGCCTCCAGAGGTACCCGCAGGCATGTGCACACACACATAAATAAGCAATATTAAAACAAAACAAAAACCCAACAACAACAAAAAGCCTGACTAGTGGCTGTGGATTTCAAGCTGTGATGGTATTGTCCTTAGCAAGGCATAGCAGCTAACCTCCGGCTGGTTGTTTCATGTACTAGATGAGAAGTTAGTTTCGGAACCCGCCTTCCAGGCGAGCTCTGAAAGCATTCATACTACCTGACACCTACTGAAGAGAGCAGCAGCATGCAAGAGAGAATGGTAGCCACATGGTGCTTCGGCCAGCCGGACAAGGCTGCAGCTGCAGCTGGAGTTCCTAAGGACCCATTTAACCTGAGAAGAGTGGGGCTGACTCACCTGAGAGCACATCGCCAGCTAGCTCTCTGAGAGCTTGTGTGTCCTGGGTTCACAGTGGGCATGAAGAGCTGCTCTGGCATTCACTCATAGATATGCCCTCTTTTCTCAAAGATCCACCCCCCCC